AAAAAGAAACACATGTGTTCATTTATTGATATTTATTGATGATACATGTAGCATTTGATTAAAAAACAAAACCAAAAAGGAAACTACTAGTATAACAATTTTGACTTATACAGATATTGAAACTGAGTAACATGATATGCTCTTTTTTAGAAATCTATCGTCGAGTTTGTTTTCTTTGAAATATAATGTTATTCCTTTTAAGTCAGGAAGTCATTAAGCATTTCGATAGCCAATAAGGCAAATTTTCTAGCTTTTAAAAATCTTTCAGCCTGCAGACTTTTATGTTTGCCAGTTGCACAAAAATTTGCAATATGTTCGCAATTGTTCCTCAATAGATCGTAGGGTAGACGATCTTTATTTTGCAGGCAAGCCTCTGCAAGGGCAACCGTAACTTCAGGGCTGTTCCGTTCAACTCCATCGTAAGTATAACGATAAATGATTGGAAGTTCTTTATAATTTTCCATGGTATCTCTTCGTCGTTTTATTTTCTGCTTTTCGGAAGACTCAATAACTTCGAACTGCTCTGCGCTGTAGTCGACATCTGTAACGATAGCATGGTGAGTATACGCCACTCTGTGGAACTTTATGTGATCTCCTTTTTTCAGTTGATGGATTCGGAGTACCGGCTCAGTCTATTATATATGTAAAAATATTTACATCAACAATTTCTTTAGAGATAATATAATTAGCAACTGAAAATTAGTTAATTAACTAATTCATAATAGTAAATAACTTAAAAAGTGGTTGACTTTACCAACCATACAGGGATCGTACGCTCCATTCGTTTTAGCTCACCCGAACCGAATGATTAAGTGAACTTTTCTTATCACAATAAGGTCAAAATTTGAAGCCCTGCACCGGTATATGGTGGCGTTTCTACATGAGTGAAATATTCTCTAATGGGACGTAAAACAATATACAGTCAACCAATCTTATCAGAATTTGTCCATTGTCTGTCGTTGTTATTATTGTTGTTGACGTTGTCGTAACTTTTTATTATGTCATCTCAATTGATGGATTTAGCATTGAGTATCCTTTGGCAGAAGGGATAAAAGTCTCTTGAAAAAATTGACAACATCAAAGGGAAGGGAAATTGAAAATTGGGTAAATATAATTAAAAAAAAAATTCTTCACAAAACCACTGGGCCAGAAAAGATTTAACTTGTTTGAAAACTTCCTCCCTTAGCATAGACTCGATTTTTTCAATGCATGATCTCTGGTATTGGTCTACAGTGAGTAAATATTACATAGTGACATATACGGAAATTCTTTAAATCTTCTTTTCAAGAACAGTAAAAACATGATGCGAAACATGATGCAAGATGCATATTTCGAAGCAATCGTAGGTAGTTTTGGTTCAAATTTGCTCTAATCTTGACCCCCTGGACTAGGTTTGGGTCACATTGAACGAACACTGTCTAAAAAAGAATATATATTTGACAATTTCTAACGAATTATCATTCCAAGAACAGAAAGCCATGGTTAGACATATTCATATGAAAGCATCCTTGACTACATTACACTAAATTGTGTTCAGATCATGCGTGACATAGGTGACAACAGTTTCACATGCGGCTACAAAGCTAAAATCATCAAAAAGTCTTCCCATGGATCAAATCCACGATTAGTGATATTATCTCAAAGGCGTCCTGGAACTTTTAGAGTAGGGACACAATACAATATCAAAAATAGAAAAAAAAAATACTCTTTCAACCCATAATTTGTCACAGAAATTTGGAAATGTCTTCAATTTCTGTATATTTAAGTAAGAACAAATCATGTCCCTTTTTTCTTGTGTGTGTGTGTTTATATAAGTAGGGAGGGGGTACTTTTGCAATTTCTTACAACTTTAATTTTTATAACACAAAACAGGTTTGTAGTGATTATTTCTTTTGTCATTTGACATGCCATGGGTGAGGTCATACGACCAGGATCTCAAGTCACTGTAGTCGTTGGCACGATGTAAAACCCCCAAGAATGCCAATTATAAATTCAATTTTAAGTATTTTATCTCAGAGGGCTGAAAATTTTGCCTCAATTTCAATTTGGGAAGGGTGAGGAGGGGCTTAGATTTAAAGTCATCATGAGACTGCAATGCGTACGATATAGTAAAGTATTTTGTGACACATTCTAACAGCCTAAGGAAGAACTTTTTCAGGTCTGACAAAACGAATGTTGCCCTCGAACTCAGTAATTAAATGTAAATTATGTTTCCTCAGTACAGGAAACAGCTCGGTGTGATATATTGCCAGACGCTATCGGCCGAGGGCAATAAAACACACTGAGCTGTTCCTTGCACAAAAGGTTAAAAAAAATCTTGTGTATTGACTGTGCAGGCAAAAAATAATTATTTAATTTGTTAATTCCATTTCCAATGTTTCCCGTGTGTAGTATAAGTATTTGTGATGTTTGAAGTGAGCATGTGTTTGAAAATATACTTGAAAAATCAGTATTTTTTCTTTACTTTCACCGATCTCACCAAGATAAATGTATTGTGACAGAGGGAGCAGGAATTGTAAAATAATGACATTGTCGGAAATCATAAAAGTAAACGAAGACAACGCCGGTTGATCATATAATGTCTTTTTCATCTTATATTAATTTTACAATTTATCAATGTATTAAGCTCATATTTTCTACATTGCCTAAACTTTTATTGTTCAATATTCCTTAAAAATTTTGTAAACACAGACTACATGGTACTTATTTTATCGCATCAGTCCAGAAACTTTTTGATAACCCCTCCAATCTTTATGTTTTATAAGTCTGATATTTTCTGACGTATTTGACATCATTGAAAAATACACGTGTTGTATCATATAGGTAAAAAAAGAGAACTACGATGAACTAAGGGTAAAAATAAATAATGTCATTTGATGATTTACAGTTCAAAATAACACAATTAAATTGATTGATTATTATAATTTAAAAAAAATGTATTGAAATTTAGTAAGCCTGAATATACTCCCTTATAAAAAATACTGGGAACATCAAGATTGCTGCTTCTTGTGTAATGTCAATAGAAATTAAATGTACAGGATTGTAAATTCAGACTTCTGCTTTATTTATTTTTTTAATTATCCCAGGATCAAGCACTGTAACACTGCTTTTCATTTCTGTTAATACTGTAGGTCATTGATCAAATCTGATATAAACAAGCATAAACAACTCACATATAACTGCATTTACATGATAGTAGCACCCATTCGGATTTGTTCAGGCATTACATGGATCAGAATTCGGCATATTAACACATTTTTTAAAATAGGTAACACTAATAAATCGGAAAAGTCATGGATAAAGCTTTTGCTATCATTATGCATTCTATAGATTTCAATGGGACTTATACTACAGGACGCATTACACCACGACGTCACCACGTGACGTCTATAATTAAAAAAATATATATACGCCTTTATGAAAAAGTGAATAGTTCAACACTACCCCCGGGGATAATTAATTTCAATTTGTAATTATAGAATCTCTATATCATGATAGGTGTTGCTAGACTCCTATTATCCTATCACAAAAAAAAAAAATATTCAACACTTTCGGACGAAACCTTCTCAAAATCATTACATTTTGTTCATAAGATCGAAAAAATGCACCAATTCCCGTGAACCATACAATTCTAGCAGCGCTTTTCAAAACAATAGAATAAGAACTTTAAATGGAAACAAAGGTCAAGATTCAAAGTATGCGGCGTAGTATTGAACGTATGCATTTTTTTGTTACGAACGACGGAGGAAAGGCTGATCGGCAAGTAAACACGCTGTCTGCTTTCATTGTGCAACGAAATGGTAGAATTATATTAGCATACCTTATTCAAAAGTATAATTCCCACATGAAACACACATGATATTCATTTTAAATGCTTTTAAACTCCGATTTCTTGTGTTTGTTATGATGAATTCCGTTATGTTTCACTTTCACTCTGTTAATACTGATCAAAAAAGTTATGACGTCACGGGTTTGGTATTCAACCCCAGTGATAAATACATAGACACAGAAACGACAAGATTTCATACCATTCGTTAGTCCAAAGTTCATGCACTGAATAGACGACGGATTTTTCCGATATTTCCTGATCATGACAAGGAGCACACGGCCGTTGTGACCGGTCAGCAGGGGATTTCCTACTCCTCCATGGCACTTGATCCCACCTCCGATGTTTCGGAGGTCCGTGTTTCCTCTGCTTCTAGTTTGTAATGTTGAATAGACTTTGAGATTGAATACTGTTTGTTATCTCCATATCCTTATTGTATAGAAAAATTCATATCATATCTACAGGACAACGCCAAACATCTTCCCAAATTAGGCTTCTGCGTAAAAGTGTAAGAAAGTTCTGGAGAACAACAAAAATCGTTTTTGACCTAGAAGGTTAAAAGAAAAATACCGATACCTTATTGCACATCTTAATGACGCAATCTATTATCTTTCAAAAAGATGCAACTGCATGAAATGTAAGCGGGATACTGGGAACAATGAACTTCTTTTATTTGAAAAAAAAGTCATTTTATGAACCTAATTTGATCCCATCTCCTGGGTGAACATAAAAATTTCTTATTGCACAACTGCAAGACACAGGCAGTCACCATCCAATAAATAACTGGGCCGCTAAGCGAAATGCACGAGGAGTTCTGGAAACAAGGGCCTTTTTCTATCGAAAAGTATTTTTCGATCGCCTTTTGAACGCTGGGTGAAAATAAAAAAAAATCTGAAATATTTTCAAATAAGTGTACAATAGTGTACGTAAACGTATAGTTCTACTTATAAATTTCTCAGTTTTCTTTTACTGATTCGTGTACACCAAATATCTTTAAAAGCTGTACTCATTCAAGGGGAAATCATTAAGTTAATATTTAAAAAGGATAATATGACATGACAAAATATTGCAAGAAATGTCGATTGACACGAATATTAATTTAATTCATTGGCCATTTCAGAAAGAATAAAAGTTTTGTATTTACCTGTGTGCAAACAACGCTGACAAAATGAGCCATTTTATCCTCTTTATTGGATATCTGGACTGTGGATTGTTTTTGTTTTTTGAAATAAATCCGGTTAGCCTAAAAACCGTTGATACTTGGAATGTTTTCTAATTATAAACAGATTATTTACATTTTAAATGCGCCCTTGAAAATTGTATATCACTTCAGCGATTTGTTTTTTCAAATATTTAAAAGGAATCGATGTCACAGATGCAATCTTCTTACAGGTAAAGGAAAACCATTCACCTGGATCAAACAGCCTTTCGTGGAAAAGCAATGTGCATTTTTGGAATTAGGTTGATTATTAGAGACTTTAACAAAAGTACACTCGTTTTAAAATGGTTTCTAAAGTATATGCATCAATCATCATGTGATATACTTTACATTGTATTTTCCCTAGGTAGGGTCAGTCCACCCTCCTAGAATTGGAAAAAAAAATCATTCATGATAAGGAATAGGAAATTCAAATTTGTTTACATGAACATTTTTATACATTCACAATTTGTTAATGTCAAAACAAGGTATTTGTTTGTTTACATGATTGACCCGGGGCAAGGAAGAAAGAGGAAGGAGAAATGTCTGCATGGTTAAGATTGCTGCAAAGTCCTACAGTCTGTGAATATCATCCCAATTTCCCACTTGTCATCTTCATTTACTGGTGGCGCAGTGGTTAGATCGTCTGCTCTAGAATCGCGAAGTAAGGAGTCAATCCTTACGTCGCGGGTTCGAATCCCACTGCGGTACGTGGAGACCGGTCCTTCGGATGAGACCGTATAAACCGAGGCCCCTTGTCGCAGTAGGTGCTGGCACGAAAAAGATCCCTCACTGCTCAAAGGCCCTGAGTGCCGAGCATAGGACAAAATTTGTAGCCCTCCACCGGCAAGTGGGGCGTCTCCATATAAGTGAAAAATTCTCAAGAGGGACGTTAAACAATATACAATCAATCAATCTTCATTTACTGACATCTCTACGTGAGTGAAAAATCCAGAGGGATGTTAAACAATATCCAATCAGTCAATCATTTACTACCATCACAGCACAAATGTATAATAATTCAACAGAATGAATAGCTCACCAATGGTGATAAAAATAGGTTAGAGTAGGTAAGTGTTAAACAGATTTAAACAGATGTTGCAAAATCTCCCGAAATTGATTTAAGGCAGCGACTTTTACCAAGTGATAAAGAAGATGGGTGAATAAGGCGGAGGAAGTGCCTATAATGCGACTGATAAGAAGTGAAAAATTTAATCTCAATTATATCCAAATTTTATTTGATATTTCATCTTATATTAATGTATACTTTATGTAAAGTCTCTACAATTTACAAAACTCTCACCAAGACTGAAAATATTTGCCTACGAAAAAGCATACACACACCAAAAAGAACAAAATCGATCATTTTCTCAAACTTGAACAAAATTTTTCAATATGAGTGGGTCTTCCCTTCATTTTTTTTGAAAGATAGTCCTAAAAGTTTGCAATAAAATAATTAATATACATTTTTTGGTTTACAAAAACTTGGAGCGAAGACCGACTATACCTTAAAAGTACACTTTTATGACAGCACATTCGCATCTTTCCGAAAAATACTTCAAACCCATTAAGTCAACGGTCATATCACAAACATGATTTAAATGTCTGATATATTCATGAGCCATGTAGCATAGTGGTTAGCGTGTTAGTCTCAAAGCAGTATGATACTTCGGATTTTTATTGCTAGGGGTTCGAGTCCCACGAATACCGTCTTATATTTTTTTAAAAGAAAATTTTCTACGAGATTTTTTTTCTCTCAGAAGTAATTCTTTTTCTCATAATTTGATAAATTTTAATAATAAGAAGTTAATTTAAATATCCAAATCATATATTGAATATGGTTTCTTAATATCCGATGCTATAGGCATTCTGCCTGCCTTGTTCACCCATCTTCTTTCAGGTGAGAGCGGAACTTATTTGGTAAAGGTGTACATATTTAGCTGTGAAAAAGTCAAACCTCACGTGTATTTGGTCATTTTATATATATATATAATTTTAAAATAGAATTTAAGTAGTACGTACAAAACACCCCTGAATTCTATTTTTACTAATTTCTTTAAAAAAATACTGGAGAAAAAAAGAATAATGTTACGATATATTGACAACAATGAATGACCCTTGTAAGAAAAATAACGTTTTGGCATGATTGCGTCATATTTTGTGAAAAAATCAAAGAATCCTATATGTTGGTCACTTGGGAGTTTACCTTTTGGAATGTGTTGACGCTATCTAAGTGCAATAAACAAGCATGTAACAGTCTGATATAAAATGCAGTGTAACTTTTGTTCAATGAATAATAGAGGCTGATATTTGGACACACATATAAGGAGTTTCAGTTCTTTGTGTACTATAAAGGTCAAGTCCATATCTAAAGGTCAAAGGTCAAAAAGTGTGATGTCATCTACTGAATCTTTTATTTTTTGGCCATTTAAATTTTTTAATCGCCAAAATATC